AATGTGTGTGTTTATTCAAAGCCATGAAAGACTCACCAGACTGGCGACTGCTGCTCGTCTCTGTGTCCAAACTACAGCAGTCCGCATTTCTCAGACCGCCGGCACTACCACCGGCTCCACATAACGGTTCAGAATCGCCTCCCACACCAGTGCCTCCGTCGACACGGACCCCGGACGACGGACACACTGTTTGAGGCAGACCGGCCAAACCATTGGGCGATGATGCTGTCGTCTGTGACAGGCTTGCGTCGTCATGGAAACAGGCGTAGACAGGCGTCAGACCAGCACCGATGCCTGGAACAAAAGTGACACGATCTCGCAGCATGAAAAGACTCGAAGTGACGTCTCCATTGCCGACGGTCGGTAGATGGGCGGACGAAACGAGGCCGCCGGTCTGTGAAGGGTAGAATCGGCTGGGCAGAGTGCCGCTGGTACCAGCCAAGGCTGACGACATGCGGTTGTTCAGACGACCTGTGGCGCCGAGCTCTCCACTCTCCTGGGCCGTAGACACGGGTCCGCCCTGGAGCGGAGACATGCTGGCCTGACGTACGAGGCAGGAAGCCGAGGCCAGAGAACACGGCAGGATTGTGCTATCCACCGAGGCGATGGCCGCCTGGCTCGGTAGAGGCTGAACCCCGGCGCCTATGGACGGTGCGGTTGTCGAGTAGCCGGGGCTTAGCCCGAGGGAATAGGGCCCGGCCGGAGGAGAGTTGAGGAATGAACCGCAGTAGCCGAGGCCTGGGGCATAACTGGCCCCGGGACCGAGAACACTGCCCAATGGTACGCCCAACGAGCCGAGGAGGTGGAGCCCATTCGACGGGGCTGGATGCAGGCCGGAGGGGCCTAGATGGCCGCCAGACATACTGGCTGTACCATTCGACATCTGGAAATAGGCATCAGTCATTGTCTGCAAAGGCATATTTACCTATTTTTGATAAAAAGGCAAGAGAATACACATTTGTAATTAATAAAAAATCAATAAAAGTTTCTAATAATACTAAGCTTTAGTAGTGTGATTAACGGGTATTGTAATAATAATGATGACAAATGGTAATACAAACTCAACTACTCTTTTAATACTACTGATAATATTACCACTACCAATTAAATGGTAATAAAAATTATGGCGAAAAATATAATGAATATGCAAGTAATGAAGCTGAGAACAAGTGAGAAAACATGCCCGTTTTCATTGGCCTAATTATGCTTAAATTTTTAGGTTTGCATGTAGATTCGAATACTCAGGACCATCAGAAGCCTAAGAATAAACTATATGGATTTCTGGAAGGATATTCTTGGTAAAATGACCATAATATTTCGTATAACTATAAATCCATAATGATATAATAATTAATTAATTATAATAATTTTAATGTAGAAATAAAAACCAATATGTTGTGGACCCTATTTTGGTCATGATCTCCTTTCTCTGTATAGAAGAGACCTGACCTTGTTTTCGCAAGTTTGCCGTGTTGACAGGGCGACCTCGTTTAATGCACCTTGGCCGAAGTACTCTGCTCTAGTAGTTATGTTAATTCCCAACGTTAGACCGTGGATTTGGTAGCTTTCCAGCAGAAGACTCACTGAAGATTAAGGCGAAA